TGCAGATACTAAAAATATTTTCATTGCAGAAAATCTGTCATTATTTGGGCAACTAGCAAACTTCTTTTATAGTGATTTCCTAAGTCATCACACCATAATATGGAGTGTGACATTCTTTAAACTAGTTAGCAGAATGAAGATATTAAGGATTGAAAATTTATATTTTAGGTTCACGTTTAATTCATTTCACTTCAAAATTGTTTCCAAAAGAATACTAAAGGTGGAGGGAATTAGTGTGTGTCAGTTCCTTGCATAATAAGCTTTTTTTTTTTAATTTACTAGATTCAAAAAAGATTATTTTTGCCTCAAGGAAGGACCTATTGAGACTCTTTTGGGAGTTGTTGAAACATGACCTTTCCTAAGAATTATCAGGGCATTTTAAAAGATTGACAGTGCAGGTGGTGAATTGTTTTCTCCCAAAGTGCCAAATTACGATTGTCAATTTGACTCAAATCTTGCTTTCTCTTAAAGCATGTTAAAGTTTCATGATTGTTTTGAAAAGCATGTGCAGTTATTTTCTAACTTGATTTTCAGTGCATATATATTCACAATGATAAATATTGCTTAAATATAACTCACTGCTGTCAATCCCAATTCATAGTGAACCTGAACTACTACCTAGAGTTTCTCAGACTATATATTTTTATAGGAGCAGATGGTGGTTTTGAACTGCCAACCTGTGGTTAGCAACCCAATGCCTAACCCACTGTTTCACCAGAGTTCCTTTAAGTGGATACAGTATATTTTCTCTTGATAAGTTGATATGCTTTGTTTTATTCTGCCTTTACTTTAGTAAGGTTATTTTTAATGTTTCTAAAAGTATGTTTCTGGTAATGTTTACATTATGTTTCTGGTAAGACTTTAGACTTAGGGGATAGGTGTGAAAGTTATGAATTCTTCCATTTTTAAGTGTCTGTTCAGGTAAGTAAGATAAAAAATATAGGTTGAACCTGGTATCGCTCAGCCTATTTCACAGACATAGATAAAAATGTGCCCTCTACTGACAGGTAGCATGCTCTGTGAAAAAGGTGTATCTAGATGCTTTCCATAGAAAAGGCTATTAGAGCTAAGGAAAATATCTCAATTATTAAACCAAATTTTTATTTTCTGTGATCAGGTTTGCTGTGTATTTTAATTTATTAGCATTGACTATTGCTTTACTAAGGAGGATAATTTTTTCTCCTTTTTCCCCCTTCAGCAAAAAGCCAGAGATAATAGAGCTGCTTTACGCATTAATAAAGTGCAGATGTCAAACGACTCCATGAAAAGACAACAACAGCAAGATAGCATTGATCCCAGCTCGCGTATTGATACGGATCTTTTTAAAGATCCACTGAAACAAAGAGAATCAGAACATGAACAGGAATGGAAATTTAGACAGGTATGAGGTTTTTAAAATAATTTTCTTTTTTAAATAACATTTTTGCTTTTTTTTAGTAGAGCCGCTTTTTCAGTTTAAGAGTATAGCTTTTGGTAAAGCAACAAAAGTTGATCATAAAGAGACTTAGAGCCTTTCTCAATTTTAGTTTGATTCTAGATGTTTATTGACATAGATTGTGAACAACGGAATACTGTCCGTAGTGTGATGGATAACAGCCTTTAATAGTCTTTCTTTATAAATATGAATCTAAGAAAGAAATTGGATAAATTAATTTTTTCTGGTACTGTTGTTATTTTTCAGGATATTTTCTTCCTTAATTGTGTTTTAATTACATTTATTGTTTCCTCAGCAAATGCGCCAGAAAAGTAAGCAGCAAGCTAAAATTGAAGCCACGCAGAAACTTGAGCAGGTGAAGAATGAGCAGCAGCAGCAGCAGCAGCAGCAGTTTGGTTCTCAACATCTTCTAACACAGTCTGGCTCAGACACACCAAGTAGTGGGATCCACAGTCCCTTGACACCTCAGCCTGGCAATGGAAATATGTCTCCAGCACAGTCATTCCATAAAGACTTGTTTACAAAACAATTACCAAGTACTCCTACTTCTTCATCTTTGGATGATGTGTTTGTGAAACCACAAGCTCCACCTCCTCCTCCTCCAACTCCATCCCGGATTCCCATTCAGGAGAACCTTTCTCAGTCTCAGAGTTCTCAGTCATCTTCTCCACAGATGTTTTCACCTGGATCTTCTAACTCCAGATCACCATCTCCAATGGATCCTTATGCCAAAATGGTTGGTACTCCTAGACCACCTGCAGGAGGCCATAGTTTCCCCAGAAGAAATTCTGTTGCACCAGGGGAAAACTGTACATCATTATCATCAGCCTCTAGGCCCATTCAGATAAGTGAAACAGCTACAAATAGGCCTTCACCAGTGAGAGATTTGTGTTCTTCCTCCACAACAAACAGTGACCCCTATGCAAAGCCTCCAGACACACCTAGACCTATGGTAACAGATCAGTTTCCCAAACCCTTGGTACTACCCAGATCTCCCGTAGTTTCAGAGCAAACTGCAAAAAGTCCTCTAACATCTGGGACCAGTGACCCCTTTACAAAACCATCTCCTAGGGCAGATACGTTTCAGAGACAACGGATCTCTGCACGGCCTTTGTTGACACCTGTATCTATTGAAAGTGGTCCCGGACCTTTTAAGACTCCAATGCAGCCCCCTCCATCCTCCCAAGATCCTTATGGATCAGTGCCACAGCCACCAAGGCGAATGTCTGTTGACCCTTATGAACGACCTGCTTTGACACCAAGACCGATAGATAGTTTTTCCCATAGTCAATCCAGTGACCCATATAGCCAGCCTCCCCTCACTCCACATCCAGCAATGAATGACTCTTTTGCCCATCCTTCAAGGGCTTTTCCCCAATCTGGAACCATATCAAGGACAATATCTCAGGACCCATATTCCCAACCCCCAGGAACTCCACGACCTGTTGTAGATTCTTACTCACAACCTTCAGGAACAGCTCGGTCCAATCCAGACCCTTATTCTCAACCTCCTGGAACTCCCCGACCTACTACTGTTGATCCATATAGTCAGCAGCCACCAACCCCAAGGCCATCTACACAGACAGACCTGTTTGCTACGTCTGCAACTATTCAGAGGCATTCTGATCCATATGCTCATCCTCCTGGAACACCAAGACCTAGAATTCCTGCTCCTTATTCTCAATCACCAGCAGCACCAAGGCCAAGGATTTCAGAGGGTTTTACTAGGTCCTCAATGATAAGACCAGTCCTCGTGCCAAATCAGGATCTTTTCCTGCAGGCAGCACAAAATCGTGGACCAGCTTTGTCTGCCCCTTTGGTAAGACCACCTGATTCATGTTCTCAAACACCCAGGCCTCTTGGACCTGGTCTTTCAGACACATTTAGCCATGTTTCCCCACCTGTTGCCCATGATCCGTATGATCAGTCTCCAGTGACTCCAAGATCTCAATCAGATTCTTTCGGAACAAGTCAGGTTGTTCATGATGTCACTGATCATCAAAGACCTGGTTCAGAGGGGAATTTTAGTGGATCTTCAAGCTCTCCATTGAATTCTCAAGGTCAGCCATTTCCTACCATCTCTCAAATTCCTGGACCTGTATCAACTTCAGGAGTAACTGAGGTGCAGAATACCATCAATATGACTCAAGCAGATACAGAGAAATTGAGACAGGTAAATGTTAGATGCTTCTAATTATTATTCAGAGAAAGCTATTCATTTCTTTTTTAGTTTTGTTTTGTGTTTAATCATTTTATTAGGGGTTCATACAACTCTTACCCCAATCCATACATACATCAATTGTGTAAAGCACATTTGTACATTCATTGCCCTCATCATTCTCAAAACATTTGCTCTCCACTTAAGCCCCTGCCATTAGCTCCTCATTTTCTCCCTCCCTCCCCACTCCCCCCTCCCTCATGAACCCGTGATAAAATGTATAAATTATTATTTTGTCATATCTTACACTGTCCAACGTCTCCCTTCACCCACTTTCCTGTTGTCCAGCCCCCAGGGAGGAGGTCACATGTAGATCCTTATAATTGGTTCCCCCTTTCCACCCCACCCTCCCTCTACCCTCCTGGTATCGCCACTCTCACCATTGGTCCTCAAGGGATCATCCACCCTGGATTCCCTGTTTACAGTTCCTATCTGTACCAATGTACATCTTCTGGTCTTAGCCAGGTTTGTAATGTAGAATTGGGATCATAATGGGGGCTGGGGGGAGGAAGCATTTAGGAACTAGAGGAAAGTTGTATGTTTCATCATTGCTACACTGCATGTCGACTGGCTCATCTCCTCCCCGCCACCCTTCCATAAGGGGATGTCCAATTGCCTACAGATGGGCATTGGTTTTCCACTCTGCAGTCCCCCTTATTCACAATGATATGATTTTTTGTTCTGATGATGCCTGATACCTGATCCCTTCTATACTCCGTGCTTGCACAGGCTGGTGTGCTTCTTCCATGTGGGCTTTGTTGCTTCTGAGCTAGATGGCTGCTTGTTTACCTTCAAGCCTTTAAGACCCGAGATGCTGTATCTTTTGATAGCCGGGCACCATCAGCTTTCTTCACCACATTTGCTTATGCTCCCATTTGTCTTCAGCAATCGTATTGGGGAGGTGAGCACACAAGGATATGATTTTTTGTTCTTTGATGCCTAATACCTGATCCCTTTGGCACCTCATGATCACGCAGGCTGGTGTGCTTCTTCCATGTGGGCTTTGTTGCTTCTGAGGAAAGCTTTTCATTTCATCAACAAAAGTGTTACAAAGTTTTTTTTATTTTGTAGAAATCATCATACTGCAAAAAAGGACATTGAAATTGGTAAAATTAATACCAATTGAATTGGATTTATTTTGTATCTAATTTTAATCTCAATAAACTCATAGGAAAATCCTTAAATTGAAAGTCTTCAATTTTATTACATAGCGCGGAAAGGACCCAAATTATCAATTTATTTTCGATAGCATTTCTGGTGAATAGCCAAAACAAACCCACTGTTATTAAATTGATTCCAACTCATAGAAACCCTTTAGAGTTTCTAAAGCTGTAAATCTGAACAGGAATGCTCACCTGGCAGGGAGATACCATGATCAAGAAGGTGGTTTTCCCAGGACAAGACTTACCCATTGCACTCCAGATGTGCTGACCCCTGCGATGTCCCCAAATGTAGGAAACTAGACTGCATATTTTGTGGTAGTAGGGGTGTTGTGTTCACGCTCTCCCCTGTTCAAAACGTAAATTTCTTTTACAGTAACAAATAGCCTCATCTTTCTCTGTGGAGAAGATAGCATTTTTGAACTGCCAGTTTTGAAGTTAGCAGTCTGACACTTACTGAATAGCACCACCAGGGCTCCTCACTCAATTATAACTATTGTTTTACCAAGCTTGGAAAGGGTATTTTAAATAGCACATAGTGTTATGTGCTGTCAAGTCCATTTCTACTCCTAGTAATTCCATTCAACAGAGTAGAACTAACTAACTGCCTTTCAGGGTTTCTTAGTTACCATCTTTATGGAAGCAGATCACCGAGCCTTTCAGCTGTGAAGCTACTTGGTGGGTTCCATCTATCAACCTTTAGGTTTTTCAGTTGAGCGCTTAACCACTATGCCGCGAGGACTCCTACCTATTAAGATTTTAAAAGCTATCAGCCTTTATAAAACTATTATCAGAAATCTGAATAACTTAAAAATGTGTTTTTCTTCCCATTCAGCGGCAAAAGTTACGTGAGATGATTCTCCAGCAGCAACAGCAGAAGAAGATTGCTGGTCGACAGGAGAAGGGGTCACAGGATCCACCAGTAGTGCCTCATCCTGGGCCACTTCAACACTGGCAACCAGAGAATCTCAACCAGACTTTCACCAGACCTCCACCTCCCTATCCTGGAAACCTTAGAACGCCCATTGTTCCTCCCTTAGGGCCTAGATATGCTGTTTTCACAAAAGATCAGCATGGGCCCTATGCTCCTGATGTTGCTGGTATGGGGATGCGACCTCATGGATTTAGGTAATGTTTTTAATGTTCCGTTATATTTAAATTGTTGTTAGAGGCACAGATAAATAATATTACTTTAATAATCAAATATTTGTAATTATAAAAATTACACTGTTTCTACCTCTTTATAATTTCTGAGGTAAAATTGATTTTTTTTCTCTAATGACAGGCATAGTTTTTTACCCACCTCTCTAAAAACTTCCAAAAGACTGTAAAAGCATTGGCTTTATTAATAACTGTATTTGTTGTATAAATTATTACATTTTAAGTACGTAAGTTTTATAATGACTATATTAACATTGAATTCCAGCAATAATAGTATAGTTTATAATATAAATTAAATCACAGATCCTAAAATGGAACTACCACATGCAGTTAAAGTCTCCTAGGATAGGGTGACAGTAGTGATAATTGTCCCCTCCTTTAATATTATGAACTTCCACTCTCTTAGAGTGTAAATATTCTTTGATTTTCAAATTTTAAGAATATTTTAAGAACATTCCATGATTAGATAAGGTTATAAAACTGTTGGTAGTGAATCATGTCCATATTTCCTTTTTTGTAGTGGCTAGTGGAAATGTTAAAGCTAAACTCATGTTGATGAGTCTTCAAAAGTAGATTTTTTTTCAGTCTTATACCTATCTCCATGTTCTACACTTACTCTTTCTTGGTCTTCCTTCTTTTTAGGTTTGTTACTGTGTCTTCTATTTTTATAAGTTGTCTTTAGTATTTCCTAGAGTAAAATAAAATATATAGAATTGAGGCCTGTATTATATTGATTCATTAAATCTTTGTAGATGCTGCCTGTCATTTTATCTCTTGCTGTATCCTGTCCACCTCATTCCTTTCAAGTCAGTAGGTTTAGTTAGGCTACATAGTGTAATACCTGTACTATTGTCTTCTCCAGTATTGAGACTCACAAGTTTATTGGTCTCATTTGGTAGACCTCCTATCTTCATGCAGACATCCCCCAAATCACCCTCCTCCTTGGAGTTTCCCTGAACAGAGAGAAAATAAATGGGCTCGGCTCTTAGTCATAAATTCCAATAGTACTGTCTTTTTCTGAGCAGTTTGTTCCATCTGCTTCATGATTGCCTTTATTTACATTATTTGTTACAGTGCCAAGCTTTTAGAGTTCAGATAAGGTGTACATTATACAGTAGTTAGAAAAAGTTATTTGTATATGGGCATTTTCTAATGATATTTTGGTTTTTGCCTAGTCGTTATATTTAACAATAGTAATATACCTACAGCTTAAAGCTTTTCCTTTATTCATTCTAAATATAAACTTAATATCATACTTTATATTAAAATTAACTGTTTGAAATTTTTTTTTTTTAGATTTGGATTTTCAGGAGGTAGTCATGGTACCCTGTCAACTCAGGAGCACTTTCTTGTGCCTCCTCACCAAATACAAGGACCTGGAGTTCCTCCACAACTCAGAAGATCAGTATCTGTAGATATGCCTAGGCCTTTAAGTAACTCACAAGTTGGACTTGCTCAGCATTTTCCATCACAGAGTCTGCCAGTTCAGCAGCATAATATACTGGGACAAGCATTTATTGAACTGCGGCATAGGGCCCCCGATGGAAGGCCACCGCTACCTTGCAGTGCTTCTGCTGACAGTGTTATAGAAGCACCTTCTCATCCAAGACATGGAAACTTCATTCCCCGGGCAGACTTTCCAGGCCCTAGACATCCAGACCCCATGAGAAGACCTCCCCAAAGTCTACCCAGTCGGTTGCCTGTGCATCCAAATTTGGAACAAACACCACCATCACAGCAAGAGCAAGCTCATCCTGCTCATTCACCTTCTGTGGTCATGAGATCTTTGAGTCATCCATTAGGCAGTGAATTTTCAGAGGCTTCCTTGTCAACATCTACACCAGCTGAAACAACATCTGATTTACAGACTACCAACCAATCTTCTGATGGTCTTGAAGAAAAACTTGATTCTATTGATCCATCTGTAAAAGAACTAGATGTTAAAGACCTTGAAGGGGTGGAAGTCAAAGACTTAGATGATGATGATCTTGAAAATTTAAATCTAGATACAGAAGATGGCAAGGGAGATGAATTGGATACTTTAGGTAATTTGGAAACTAATGACCCCAACTTGGATGACCTCTTGAGATCAGGAGAGTTTGATATAATTGCTTATACAGATCCAGAACTTGATTTGGGAGATAAGAAAAGCATGTTTAATGAAGAACTAGATCTTAATGTTCCAATTGATGATAATCAGTGCATGTCTATTGAACCCGCCAAAACAGAGCAAGAAGACAAAAATTTGGTTGCGTCTCATAAACATTCTCAACAGAAAAGCTCTGCTGTTACCAGTGAGGTAAAAACAGAAACATTGTCTCCAAAGTCCAAAGAGGAAACCAAATACGAAATTGAGAAAAGTGAAGATAAAGGTACTGTTGACATTCCCTGCTCACAAGTTTCTACTAACACAGACCTTAATGATGGAGAAAAGACTTCTTTGCAGCCTTGTAATCCAGATCTTCCTGAAAAAAGAACTAATCAGGAAAATTCCGACTCTAACACAAGTGTTCAAGGATCCACTCAGCTGCCTGCTAAAGAAAGTATGAATTCTTGTGACGTAACTGGGTCCACTCCTGTCCTCTCAAGTTTGCTTACTAATGAAAAATCAGACAATTCAGACAGGAGGCCTTTGGGGTCTCCACCACCAAACTTGCCTCCATCACCATCCAATCAAGTGTCAAGTTTACCTCCTACTTTAGTTACAGCACCTGGTCATGTTTTGGATAATACCATAAATTCTAATGTGGCAGGAGTTTCTAGGGTAAACCATACTTTTTCTCAGGGTGCACAAGTAAATCCAGGATTTGTTCAGGGTCAGTCAACGAGTCACAATTTTGGGACAGGAAAATCTACAAATCAAACTGTGTCTCTGACAAGTCAGTCTGGTACCGGTGGTATATCTGGACCTCAACAGCTCATGATTCCTCCAACATCAGCCCAGCAGAATAGAGAGAGGCCCCTCCTTCTAGAGGAACAGCCACTGCTTCTGCAGGATCTTTTAGATCAAGAGAGGCAAGAACAGCAGCAACAAAGAAAAATGCAAGCCATGATACGTCAGCGGTCTGAACCATTCTTTCCTAACATTGGTAGGACTTTATATTGTTTCAGTAGCAATTAATATGGGTATGACTAGTCTCCAGTATTCTTTAAGATGACAGGATTAAAATTATGTTTGGAATAGTGCACTGGGGTTTATTATTTGTATTTTTCTTTCAGCTTTTAAATGAAAGTGAGTTCTTTGAAGGTCAGGGAAATCAAATGATCCAATCAGTTGCAGGCCCTTAGTCAATTCCATTACTAATGGTACTGTTGTTTCCGTTAAATAGTATTCTTTCTTTTCAGTGGTAACATTGATATTCTCTATGAATTACTAATTTTATCAAATTCACTCACCTCTTTTTCATTTATACAAAAGAGACCCTTTTTTTACTAGCCATTTCATACAGTGAGGTATCAAGAAATTGATACATCTTTTTAAGAGTGATAACTGATACTGGTGCAGTGCAATAGTATTGGAAATAATTATAAGTTCTCAGTCATGGTGTTAAATTTTAAAAAGTAACTCTGATTAACATGAAAATTTGGATGGGGGCAGATTGTTTTACTTTAGATTACTGTCATACTCAAATTTGACAGGTTTATTGTTTTAATTCTTGTACGGTAATCTATTAAAGTATATTTTGTTTTACTGAGATGGGATTCAATTCAGAATAAGGGTCTCATAATTTCTTACCTATTATAGAAACCTATAGTAATCATTAAATAATAAAGAATAATAGTTTATATATTACATAATTTTGTGATAGTTATTTTACCTTTTAGTATTCCTTAAAGTACTGTGAAGTGTATAATTTTAAAATATATTTCTTCTTTAGATTTTGATGCAATTACAGATCCTATAATGAAAGCAAAAATGGTAGCCCTTAAAGGAATAAATAAAGTAATGGCACAAAACAATATGGGCATGCCACCAATGGTTATGAACAGGTAGGTGAAAATGTTTCTCATTCTTACTGTGCATCAAGAAGTGCTCTCTAGCCCTAGAAAACTGAGAAGCCTATATTCAAGAAATGAAAAATAAATACTAAGTAGTTAATTTTCCTTTATTTCATGGTAAATGGACTAGCATTTAATAGAAAAGTTTAGAAGATTTACTTGATGAGAAAATCCACAATATGAATGTGAAT